AGGGGCTAATTGTCAGTCACATCACTTCGAGAAAAAGGGGCCATGGCACATACAACGAAACTCTTGGCATAAGTGACCCAGTTCCCCTTCTCTTTCAGACGCTTCTCCATTTGTTTACTGGCCTCTCGCTCGCGTCTCTCCCACGGCGACTCGGGATTCTCAGCAGTCGGAGACTGACTGGCATTCGTCGAAGTTTCCGTTGCCGTGTCCGAGGTTGCTCCGTAGCCATTTTGCTGACCCTCATCCTCCCCCGCAGCCGAGGCGTCGAGAGCACCATTTCCGTCCTCCTTAGGTAACAGAGTTTGGCGCTCAGCATCGCTACCACTCTCCTGCCTGGACTTGTACAGGCCTTCAAAGTACACGATCAATGCCAGCACAAACGAGAGATAGCGGGCGGCAACGGTTGCGATGTCCACCAACTCGGCATATGCCAATGGCTCGTGCGGCCGGGCGGCGAGAGAAAGTGCCGCGATAGCAGGCTCGAAGAGAAGCGCCAATCCGAGGGATCCAATGTAAGGGTACCAGACTGGCTTCGCGGTTTCCGAAAGCCCAGCAAGTTCGACTCCAAAGACCAGTATACACGAGAGGAGGCTGATGATGGTGTCCTGTTCAGCTGGGAACTCGTGCCTGGTAATGCCCTGAACTAGAAGAATGACGAGCTGGGCGAGGTATGTGAGCACGCTGAATAAGAGAAACAACGAGATCACGCGGCGGCGGACATGATTTCCTGCGGGAGATTGGGTTTGCAAAGTGCATACAGCGATTGTGGATGACAGGATGTAGTAGGCGAAGACGACTGAAGGGAAGGCATAGTGAAGACTAGTGACAGCCGCCTTTACTGACGACCCAGGGCCGTCTTGAAGCCCGCCTCCGTCGGCGGGGGTTGGCATGACGGACGATGAAAGTGGTGGCAGATGGGCTAGTAGGCGGGCTGTGAACGTCATACGGCCGAGGTAGAAGTTAGACTAACGGGAGGCTTGTGACGATGACGATACAAGAAGCTGATGATCTGTTTCTTATAACCTTTTATGGCCAAGTCGAGTTAAACCGCGTCTTCCAAGAAACTGTTGCAGCAGTACAGTTTTGCAGGCGGGTTGAGACAAGAACAAGTTACTGTGTCGCAGTGAATTGTGCTGGTAGTGGCAGGTGGTGTTGAAACGGTCCAGGTTATATATTGAATTGTGACAATTGAGGTATGTGAATTTGGATCGAGCGTTCCTCCAATGTCGGCAAGCCAAGACTCCTGCGAAAGGTTTTAAGTCGCTTCCAAATTCTCCGGGTGATTCTTTCTCTTTTGGTCCTCCGAAATGAGAGTGGGTGTAGGCAAGAGCACCCATATGACGCCGTGCAGCCAAGGAAGGAGTGACCCTTTCTCAGTGACACCAGGACGTGCCTGTGGCGCCACCAACCAAACTCCACGGCAGTCAGTTTATTCACTTTGGGAGCTTTCAAGTGTGCAGGATCTAGCCGCGCCAATCCAGCAAGGAAAGAAGTCAACCTCGGAAGAGCGTTCCAATGGTGTCTTTCTTGGTTCCTTAGCTGGCAACTTGTTCGGTGGGGAAGGTATGACAGTCCCAGTTAGGTTGTTATGCTTCCCTTCAGTTGTGCCTAACAGTTCGCATCCAACTATGGCCAATCTTTGGGTGCAGGCTGAGCTGCCGTCTGTAAGCCAGTGTGAGCCCCCTGTCCCTTTATGTTTGAAAGAAGCTCAAACAAGGTGTCACTGCGGCAGGTTCCTTACGCTGCTAGTGTGCGGCTCTAGATGCTAGCTAGCCGCTCTCCCTGAACTCCGGGCTGAGATGGATAAGCTCAATTACCCGAAAGAGGCGTTCTAGTTCTAGGGTCTGCTACCTCCTAGTTCCTAGCTGGAAGACTTTGCGAGAGATGGCGGAGGTGTTGATCACTTCCCCCGCTGTCCCCGAACACGAGCTAAGAATGGACTTCGGTGTTTTCCTTTGTGATATGTCAGCTTCACAGTGTCGTACGACAATGACGAAAGCCTGCTTTTCTGCGGCGCCCGATTTTGGACGGAAAATGATAGGTTCTAGGAGTTGGGCACCTCGCCATGCGGGATCCCTGAGAGCTGGCGAGGAAGATGCGCGCGTGAAAGGAGAACGCTTTACGTACAGCAGAAACCGAGAAATGGATCGGCAAGGGATCGCAAAGCAACCAGCAAGCAAGCTAAGAGAAAGTCGAAAAAAATACCGATGCGGTGTACTTCGGGGCAGCGACATGTGAGATGGATGTCAAGAACAAGAGGAGTCAACCTAGTTAGGCAGGCCGTGGTGTTGTTGGTTCTTCGAGGCAGGCGCAGCCCACAAATGTACATACAATCTGACTAACAAGACGCGGTTTGCAGCTGGAATTCCAAAAGATTGAGCGGCGGCGGCGGCGGCGATCAATGAGTGGCACAAGAGAGATCTCGCTGCCACGTCGCCGTCCTTGGATTGTCCTTGTAGTTATTCGATCTACACCGACCAATGTGGCCAAGTCGAGCAATTTAATCCAGGGATGCAAGAGGAGACTAGTTGTTTGCGGCAGATCCTCATGGGTCCTGGATACCTAATATACCCTAGAAGAGGTAAAGTTACGGCCGTTACTATTTCATACATACACTATTGCCCAGTGAGCCATTCAAACGACAGAACAGCAAAAGCCCGTGATTCCCATGATGCCGTGTTTCCTCGACAAGAAACGCAGTGGATGGCGCTAGTCGAGGGGTGTGTTGGACCGCAAAAAAGGCGGACAAGGTCTTACATGCCGAGCCATATTCCTTTTTCCTCATCCGTTCTTGCTCACGCCAATTAATACAGAGAAGCCCTGGCCCCTGGTAAAGCATGGGAACATGATCAAACTTCTGTTCGTGACGACTCCGGTCTTCTCTTGTCCACTGCGTGAGTGACACACAAGGGGAAAAAAGCAAAGAAGGGCGCATGTCTCACAACCTAATCAGGGCATTTATATGGGCAGCGCAATTTGATAATTAACAAAGGTGTTCGCGCTACCGCACACCGAAAGTTACGGCGTATTTCGGCAAGCCGGCTGCAGCCCTCATGTCCTTCCTCTCTTCCATTTGATGTACCTATTTGGAATCTTGACTCCGGTGACGAGAACACGCATGGTCGGCGAATGTGCCATATGAGGTCGGCGGTCATCTCAAGTCTCAATGTCTCTTGTTGCCAGGCTAGCCTGTTTCAGAATCCTGCGCGCTGATTCGGTTCCAGAGCAGCGGCGCTGCCCCTCACATACCTCTTCCATATCAGGAAAGTGGCTTAATCTGTCGGTAGGTATTTTGGCGCGGTGTCCGGGTTGGAGTTCTGACCGAGCAGCCGTAGCGGGCCCAAAAGTTCCAAGCTCTCGCGGTGGTAAATATGGTTAGTTTGGCCAGCTTCGAGGTTACGAGTTTCTGTCGTATTGTAAGGGAGTCTGGTGACCGATGATCGAAATCTGCTCAGTACATACACCAAGCGACTATCTTCATCGGATCGGATCGAGGGCCAAGGGAGAGACTCTAAAAGTTAGTATACTCAGTGTAACCAGGTCAACCCTGATACGTAGTCGTTCGTCACAATGACATGCAGCTACCTGTAAGCACGGCTGAAACTCAAAGTCCTCTGGCTCCTGACAGAGGTGTGCCATTGCCCTGCGCTGAGAAACCAGCCTCATCATTGGCGCAATGAACCGTCGAAGGCTCGGGCCAATACGGCAGTCAAGGACAGCCCTGCCAATTTTTACCTACCAGCTTAATCGGAACACTAGTCAATCTCTCGAGAGTTCTGTGTAACCATTTAAACCATTTTAGAGCGATCGCGCTTCTGGCGCTCGTCTACACGACACGAGAGGGTCAAAGCTCCGGCAACCTCATGCCGTCTTGGACCTTTCATTTTTGGTTCATTGGCTGACCGGTGAGGGTCCTTTCGATTGCTGCTGCTGATGCTGCTGCTTTGTCTTCTGGTCCAGTCCGTCCAGTGTGTTGGCCGCCTAAATCAAAGGATCTTCCAGCTTCCATCTCGAGTATCGGCTTCCCTGATCCGAACATGGCTGCGTTATGTGTGTTGTAGGCACGCGGGCGGCGGCAGCGTAGATCGATCGACACTTCTGTTGGATGTGAGAAATGACAACCGTATTGTGAGTGCAGGTGGCATTTGCGGCCCAGGCCAATGAAGACGGCCTATGTAGATGTGGCCCATTTGTCATGCAGCTTCCGTCTGGCGGGTCAGACTCCCATGCTGTTGGTGATCAATGTCCCGGCCTCCTGGGACAATGGCAGCCGGATGTAGACCTCCGCGCGAATCCAGAGGGTTGTTGCTGAGGTCCATAATCCATTGATGCACGGCTCAGCCGCTGCATCCCTACACATGCGATACATGATAGTCTGCTGCTGTTTGGGCAAGAGAAAGTGTTAGTGGGATTGCGGAATGCTGGCATGACTTGGCAAGGTTTGGCACGTTAAGAAGCTGCAAGTCAGCCTGACGGCGGGCACCGATCGCTTTCCGACTGTTCGGATCCTGTCACATGGGCAAGTCATGCGTTTCCCACATCGGCGAGCAAATCTTGGAAATGGGCTTTAGCTTTCGGGAGTCTGGCTGCCCTTGCAGATTGCTTCTCTGCTGACCAGGGTTGGGCAAGCAGAGCCCGAGTGAAGTGGAGGGGTTAGATGTACGGAGCTGCACGAGGAGAGTCTGGACTGCTGGTTGCAAGAAAAAAAACCTTATGACTCAACTATATGTCCGTCTGTTAATATTGCCGCCGAATTCGGGCAAGCAGCTTCGTGGACGCTTCCGGTATGAGCTCCGTAGGTGTGGGCTGATTACTGTCTTGACTCGAGAGGTTAAGTGCTCACCAGCGTTTGAGACTGGCATGTCTCGGACAACAATGGTTATCAGTCACGGAAGTCAGGAGGCGGGGTAGCATGTGAAACCCAACCATGGATTGAAGACCCTCGGATTGGCGAGGGGAGAGAGTTGGTGCACTAGAGAAGTTCTTCTAAGCAATCTCATGGGCGTATGGTCTAGTGGTATGATTTCTGTTTTGCAAACACCCGGAATATCTGGGACAAGCTCATACAGACGGTCCCGCGTTCGATCCGCGGTACGTCCAGTCATGGGTTGCTTTGATGTGATTTTTTTACCAAACTACATTTTTTTATTATTATTTTTAATGTCGAGTAGCTACAAGCTACTTTATCAATCATGCCTCTTCTCTTACACCGATGACCAAGTTCACTGCTCTGTCAGTGCCATCAGTCTAACCAGGCAGTGTAACTGCGGCTGAGGCAGGGGGATTAGTCACACAAGCCCAGGGAGTCTGAGCACCGCCCCAACCCATGTTTGGTGGTGATTGCTCTGTGAGCTGGTAATGTAGAGTAATCGTTCTTGGTCGCTCGTGGGACTTTTGATCGACATCCAATAATTGGTCTGTCATAGCCTCGGCCGTGAGTCACCGGCAGCACCGTAGAGTACAATCCCATTGTTATGCTCTACTTTTGATAGTGATTACCTCAGTCATCGCACGAACAAGCAGCCACAGCTGAGTACATAAAGAAAGACCAACCAAGACGTCTGGCTGTTGTTTAGTCAGTCCTTCCATTCTGATTGACAAGAAGAGACATGCCAGCAAAGAAGAACAAAGTCGCCAAGTCGAACACCGGTAGTGCAGGGAAGCGTCAGCAGCAGCAGAAGAACAAAATACAACAGGCAGTCTCGACAGGTGCAATTACATCAACACCGACAATGTCAACCTCAGCAGCTCGGATATCAAAGCTAGCAGTACAAAATGGCCCGATATACTTCTGGCGAGAGACCGACGCACAAACGGGCTGGCTCAGCCAGTGGTGGCCGTGTGCCTTTAGAGATGACAAGGGGGTAGTGTACAAGACCGCCGAGCAGTGGGTTTCTCCTCTCAACTACCTCCACTATGACATTGAAGGGTAACTAATTGTTCTGGATGGTAAGTTATATGATGCATCACAAAGCCATGCTTTTCAACGACCCGGCCATGGCAGACGCCATCCTAAAAGCAGGCCACCCCCGAAAAGTCAAGTCAATGGGCCGCAAGGTGAAGAACTTTGACCCAGCGGTGTGGGACGCCGAGCGGGAACGGATCGTGCGCGAGGGCAGCTATTTCAAGTTCACCCGTGCCGTTAGTGAAGACGGACTGCGGCTAGGTGCATCGTCGACCGCACCCTTTATAGGCAAGACCTTGCGCGAGCTCTTGCTGAGCACACATCCTCGCGAGCTAGTTGAGGCGAGTCCGTTCGATGCTATCTGGGGTATCGGACTCGTGGCCAAGGATGCGGATCCCAATCACCGAGACGCCTGGGGGTTGAATTTGCTGGGCAAGGCGCTGATGGATGCCAGGGAGCGGTTCGTGAAGGAGGATGAAGAAAAAGAACGAGAACAAAAGGAGTAGTCACAGCACGATATTTAACTGACGGAGCCCAAAAAGCAGACTGACAGACAGCGAGAAAGCGATGCTCCGCTGATAGCTTGATTATATAACTGCTTGCGCTTGGGGGGGGGTTTAAGTCCCACACCCATATTGTACACTAGAGTACACTGACATCATCCATCCTCTAAATCCAAACCAGAGTGGTGTTTCAAACAGCGGAAATGCTCAAGGCGCCTGTTTTCCCCTGTCTATCAGAGAAGTTGCCCCAAACTCCGTCGGTACCCGAACGACCAGATCCCATATGAAGTGTGATATGATACATTTTAAGTCGTGATTGAACAGTGTCAGCTTGAGGAGGCAGCTGCAGCCGGTGAAGGGACAGTAGAAAGTGTCCAAAATAATAATGTCGATTAGATGTAGTCACGGCCGCTCTTCTGCATCTCAATCAGACGCCAGCCTCTCGTCTCCGGGTTGTTAACATCCTCGGGGATACGAGTGATGCCGATAGCGTATGTAACGAGCTGGACCTTATCCTCCATTCCCGCCGCCAGCTGGTTCGTCTTGGCGTTGCGGTACACGTGCACTTCCTGGGTTCTGCACGTAATGATAAAGACCGGGATCTCACCAGGGTCGAGCATGCGTGCCTTGAGAATGTCGACGTGCCTGATGTCCAGAATGCGCCCGTCAGACTTGAGGCCCGCCTGGAGGTACTGCTTTGTCAGGGCCTCGTAAACAGAGTACTGGGCTTCCGACAGCCAGAGCTTCAGTGTCTCGACGTCGCCCTTGACATAGGCGTCGAGAACCTCAGGAAGGATGTACTCGCGGAGCTCCCGTAGGAAGGGCTCGACCTGGAAGGCGGGGTCCATCTGGCGGAGCTTCTTGATGACCTGAGCCGTCTCGTTCTCAGCAAAGAAGCCGGCAACACGATCCGTGATGCTTCTGGCGGTAGAAATCAAAGGGTTCTCGGATTCTTGGTAGACGTTCTTCATGCCAAAGATGCCCTGGACAAACTTGTTCTGGTCCCGGAAGTCTCTCCAAGCCTCCTTCCACGCCGCGTCCTTGTGAAGTGTGACGTTGGTTCCGGCTCTTTGACATGGTTAGCGGGTTACTCCAATACGCGGGTCAATCATGTAATGTAAATGTGGCTTACTCGGGATCCTCCTCCAAGACTTGGTGCGGCTTGCCGCCGTTCTCCCTTTGCTCCCGCGCCTCTCTTCGCTTTCTTCGCTCCTCCTTCTCAAGCCATCCGCCGTATCTTGAGCTGCTTCCATCGTCGATGACTTCCTTTACGTTCTTGAAGGCCTCGGTTTCACGAATGGGCTTGGTCGCCTTGTCTAGAACCTCGCCAGTAACGTTGGCTCCCTTGCGCACTCCCTTCATCACAGGTGTTTCCCATGTCCACTGCGCACTCTTGCCAATCGCACCAGCCGTCGTCTTGACCACCTTCGAGGTTGTTGACGAGACTGCACCGGAAGTCGCTTCGTATGCCTGTCGTGCTTTGCGGACCGACTCGCTCTCGGTCAACTGATGAGCCGAAGATGCTAGTGCCTTGGTTGACTCGTTCCACTCTTTCGATTGCTTGAACTCGGTCTGCATGGTCTCCAAGAAAACCTGCCACGGGGTCTTATCACCGTGAGGCGGAGGAGGAGGGAGGTCTTCCTTCTTCTCTTTCTTTGGCTCATCTGATTTCTCATCTGATTTCTCTTCGCCCTCCTTTCCTTCCTTTCCTTCCCCTTGCTTCCCCCCCTGACCTTCTGCGTCAGATTCTGCTTTCGCTCCAGAAGCCTGGCTGCCCTGTGCCTCAGCGGTCTCTGTAGAAGCTTTGCCATCTTTGGCCTCGGTTTGTTGTTGCTGGCAGGTTCGGGAAGAGACGTGGAATGACCGCGAGTTGATCGCTGACAGCTGTTCGACTTTGATTGCGCCCGGAAGTAGGGGTGACCTCAAGAAGCCCGCATCTTGCAGAGAAATAGGAGTAGAAGACGGCCGAGTCTGAATGCCGCTGAGAAGGGATGTCCGGCTTGAGAGTAACCGGCGATATGCGGGCGATCTGCTATATGCATTGTTGGAAAGGGCAGATGCTCTCAAGGAAGAGCTCGGAGGGGCAATCCTCTGGACACTTCTGAACGTATGCATCCTTCCGTTCTGTAATCGCCCTCGAGACAACTCGCTCAAAAGGGATCGGGTAAGGGCGAGCAAGTAGATATTTCCAAGAGGAGGAAATTGCGCAGGGTAGAAATTCTGCCGGGTGATGACCAGGAGCTAGCAAATGTCAGCGCGCGTGCCGCGTGCTTTCGCCGCCAAAATTTCTGCAGAGCTCTCCCGGCAAATTGCCGGCTCGGTGTTACAGCGGCAGACCGCCCGGCCAAAATTTACTGACCAGCGGATCCAGGTACAACCCAAAGCCGTGATCTTCCACACGTCCGCCAGCCATTGCACTCATGCAGATGCACATTGGCACTCGAAGATGAGTCGATCCTTGACGAGTCGCCTCCTGGCGCGCGACCTATTCCGGCCAGTTTCTCAAACTCCCCGAGTCGCTCCCAGCATACCACAATGGAGCCGAGCATTTTCACAGTCGCACGCCGCGAGGCAAGACAAGCCCGCTTCTCAACAAGCTACTGCTACGCCGAAGTCAAACCCGATGGAGATGCTTGCTCGGAGCGTGATGAGTAACGCAGCAGACCCGACCAACCGCAACGATGCCGAAAGCCTTGCCAACAACTTGGGCATGGGAGAAGACCAGGGCGACGAGCCATACCACTTCCACGTCTACAGCCACAAGCACAACACCCATATCACTGTCTCTAAGCCGAACCGAGATGCTATCATCTCGCTGTCCTGCGGAAACCTTGGTTTCAAGAAGTCGGCGCGCAAGCACTACGACTCGGCCTACCAGCTCGGAGCGTACGTGATTGACAAGCTACATCAGCAGGGCATTGTCAAGAAGATACACAAACTGGAGGTGATATTGCGGGGCTTTGGCGCGGGGAGAGAAGCTGTCACCAAGGTCCTACTAGGAAACGAAGGCAAGATGCTGCGCGGGAAGATCACACGGGTTGCCGATGCTACAAGGCTCAAGTTTGGTGGAACAAGGAGCAAGAAGCCCAGGAGACTGGGTTGAGCAGGGGAAGAGGGAGGATCTACTGGCCTATATCAATTGGCCGTGTACATGTCATGTATATTTATTTATATTTATTTCCTCAATTGAGTGCGTTTGGGCGCCTTGGACAAGGAGCTCTATTCTACGAAATTCATCTCCGTGCCGTCTAATGTTCGCCGCTGTAGTCTAACACGTCCCGCATGTGGTTCGAGTTGCGTGCTCTGGCCACGAGCCAAGCTCCCATGTGCATACCACTGACGGACCCACTAAAAAGTTCAAATCGCATGCGACTCGCCGAGACCTGCTTCGCTTCACTGGAAACCTTCAAACCACCAAGCCATGTAGGACTCACCATGTCCGCAGACCCTCAGACACCACTCACGGCGCAATCGATTCTCGGTCTCGATGTTCTCTTCAGTAACCCGGTCTTCGCGGGCGGCATCGGGCTTGCGGGCCTCGGCGCGGCCGCAGCATTTGCACGGCGGGGGGTTATAAGCGGCGCCGCCCTGCTGAAGCGGCAGATGCTGGTCAATATCGAGGTCAGCAAGCGCGATCCGGCATACAATTGGGTTCTCGCATGGCTGGCGCAGCCGCGGGACAACAGCGGGTT